AACGCCGGTTGATGTCGCTATTTAAATGCAAATGCCACGCTGCGAGTACACACACACACGCACGCACGCACGCACACAGTAAAGAGGAGGCTCTTTAACCCACGCGCGCACACATGCACTCCGCAGCAGCGAGGCTCGATCGCGCGCCGTCGACTCGCCTGTAAATCAGCCGATAACCTGCAGAAACACACAGCAATAATCCAATTAAAGTGATCCCGTCTCCGTCTGTTGCTACGACAGTAATCTCCGACACCGTCAGTGATTTATTCCACTTGTTCATCTTCCACCTGCTGACGACGTCCAGCTCCCGGAAAATCAGTGCAACTAATACAAATAAATTAGTGTACAATGAACTGAAATGAAATGATGTTACAGTCAGTCGAGAAAGTGTTTTCATATATACAAATGTAAAAGTAAAGAAATGAAAACAAACATAAAGATCGCTCCTAAAACACCATGACATTTTAACATTATACTCTGTTTTTACTGTGGAAATTATTAATGTGACAAAATTGCCAGTTTGGATTTTTTTTTTACTCAAAAGCAGCACAAAAGTATTTTAGGAGGAAACAGACAAATATGTTTGCACTAAAAATATTGTGAACTGTAATTTAGACTAAAGTTTAAATGAGGAGCTCCGGGTGAGCAGGTCCTGTCTGACCCATACGGAATCTCAGAGAAAACACTCCAGAGGGGAAATAAAAACCGGCCGGAGACAGAATAATAAATCTACATTTACATGTGAAAGTGTGAAAACGGAACGTGAGCACGATTCATCACGTCAGCGTGAGCGTTGGACGATTGATCACCTGCGGCCGATGGATCGAGTTTGAGAGAAGCAGCTGAATGTAACCGAGTTTCTCCTCATGTAAATGAGATCAAATCGTTATGTGCAGCTGCAGCTCGACGCAGCCGCACATTTAACCTCTATCCATTACTCACATCACAAATATTTCCTTGAATGTTTATTACTGCATGAATGAAATAATATGAACTTCCCTGCTTAGCCCACTGCTCC